ATATAAATAATAAAAAGCTTTAACAAGTTTATTTTAAAAATAAAGAACTTCTCAAATAAATAGTAATCTGCTTTAATATTTTAAATTAAACAAGCAAAAAAAAATTATATTATTTTTATATGATCAAATTTTATAAAACATAAATATAGAGTTTAAATAAATAACTTACTAGATAGATCATAAGTATAATAACTAATATAAAACCTATAGATAAACCTGTAAGTAAACTATTTAATTAGATAACCAAAAATTGCAGATATAACTAATTATACTCTTCAAATATATATTAATATTGTAACCAAAATCATTGTACAAGTAGTATTTTGAACTAAATAAAAGCTATCAACCAAAAGATCACCCTAATACCAAAAAATTAATTAATTAGTTGCAACTAATCAATTACAACTAGTTGACCAACTAAAAAAATAATTAGTAAGTTTTTTAATTTTTTTTTTTTGTCTTATCGAGCTTATCAAATTTTTTATAAACTGATTGATAAATTATTACAGTTTTCCCGCTTTAAACGACCCCAATACCTGATAAAATCCCTAACTGGAATTATGTTACTCAAATTAATTGGAATATTCGAATAATTCAAATTGTTCAGGGTATTATAGCCGTTTTCGAATTAGTGCATATTACCAATGTAATATGCAGTATTCACAGAATTCATAAAATTATATGGTCGTACTAATTCGAAACCAGCGGTAAATATTAGTAATACTGTATTACAATAGAATATTTGGATTTTTCGGAATATTCGAATTTTGCGAACATGGTTTGATTAAAATTAAAGTTGGGCCATTTTTCGTATTTTTTGTATGTACCTTTCAATTTTTTATTTTTTAAAAAATTTCCATTTTAGCATTTTTATTTATTGTTTTTTTACGTAGCGCTTCATTATGTTTCAAATTGGGATATCATTTAAAACTATTAAATTTCCTTTATTTGGGGATGGCTAAATCCGCATCATATCAGTATTATCATTACCATAATCGTTTCTTGATTGAGGTCAATGTGATTTCTTAATTCTGCTAGGGGACCATGTGAATCCTCTGTAGCAAAGTAAAAAGGGATCTATGTACATCCAAGAATGCAAGAATTGATATATGCTTCTACTCCATTGTGACGGATTTCAGTTTTCAAAGGTTTTAAAGATTGTATTCATGAATTTTGATACACTGTACCTTGTTAATATAAATCTATTTTGAAATCCAACACGTCAATTTTTTTATTCATTCATTTCTTTATTCAATTATTTACATAATTTGTTTTTTATGATTCAAATTGACTTTGTTTTGTTCGAATCTACCTTAGTTGGTTCAATATTTTCTACTACCGTAGTGCACTGACCAAAGTACTCGGGGTCAAATACAATCTAACCAAAAAAAACATAAAGTGCCTGTGGGTATCTTGATCGGTGACGAGCATCTTGTTTGGGGTATTTTGTACGGTCTTATATATGTAATCAGAAATCAATATGTGGTAATATGAAAAATGCCGTGCAAAGTACCCGAGTATTATCCTCGGTTAAAAATATGCTATATAAAATACCCGGATATTTTGAGTGGAGGCACACGGTAATTTTTATTTCTGGTCCGAAATGCTAGTCCATTTTATAAAAAATCTTAACAGTCTACCGAGAAATGAATTCATGCATTTTAATGATTACTAGCTCTACATGTGTTTTACATGAAGATTTGGTACATAATTTTTATATTTTATACGAACATGCGCCCATTGCAGTAAGCAACGGTTAATATTTATTATTATCTAAAATAAAAGAATAAAGGTGTGAATATTAGAGTGTTATTATGTGAATCATGATTCAGAATTGTACAGAAAACAACACAAATTTATTTCAATATGTCGAACTCTCTTTAGGGAATATTAAAGATTATAATAGAATCTTTGAGTCATCACCAACGAGAAATCATTCCTTACAAGAAGGAATATACATTCAAGAGACTTGAAATAATTTGAGCAATATTTTTTATGATGCATTTAAGAATTTCATTTAACTATTTACATTACGAATAAAAACGCATACTCCTAATAAGCTATTTTCTTATTCGCATTTCTCTCTTTTGATTAAAACGCTTCTTTCTTTTTTCTACACTAATTCAAGGTTTAACGCTTTACTCATATACTACATATATATACTGACATAGTCTAATGATGTGCCGCGTACAGTACTATATCAGATATACTGTACGTTAGCGCTAAGGAAGTTAAATTACGGGGTCCAGTCAGATCCGGTCCTCGGACCTCCTAGGATTCAAATCCTTAAATCATATGAAAACATAATACATACCGATACATTTATATAGGATTTAGATCCTGAATTGGATCCTCAGAATGAGTTCGTCCAATCAATTGAATTCGTATTGTTAAATAATTCGATCCAGGACCTAAATCCTAAGGTAGATATGGGTATTATGTCGCAGGACCAATTATGGCGCACACGTGATATCTCGTGAACCAGCGATCAAGGACCGGAAAAAATTTGGATTTGGATAACGATAAAAATTTGGATATAATTTGGATATAAATTTTATATATTTTCTTTATTAAAATAAATCAATTGCATTTTTTACAATTATCCTTCAAAATATTACTATATTTAAAACTGCATTCAATCGTGCATTAAAATTATATTCTATCACCACTACTGCATATTGGGTGTGTTTAAAGGTTACTGATGTCTTAAATATAAAGTAGGAATGTTATTAGCTTGATCCGGCTTGGATATTTAACTATTATAAAAAACTGATTAATGAATAAAGCCGAACAAACCTATAATGTCTCTAAACATGATGATTACATGCAAAATAATCATGATTTCTGTATACCGAGGTATAAGATCATTTAAAAAATAACATATAAAGAGATTTTTGAAAACATCCATTAGAAAAATGAAAAAGATAATAAAACCTTTTTTCAAAATATTTCTAAAGTATCATATTTGATTATAGCTAATTTAAGATCGAAATACCTTATTTGTGTAATAAAAATTCTAACTAATCAAAATTAGCAAAACTTACAAAAATTTGAAAAAAATTAAAAAAATTTGAAAAAATTTGACTAACATTAAAAAATTTGAAAAAATTTGGATTGATTTGGATCTAAAAAATTTCCGGTCCCTGATCAGACCACAGGAATTTCATGCAAATAAGGTGACGCCACCGACCACAATCAGTATTTAAAGAAGTGACAAATAACTCGCGATACTCTGTCCTCTTTCAACACAACCAAGCATTGCAACCGTCTCTTTTTTCTCGAATTAAACTTAATGTTAGCCAAAACAACCCTTAACAAATATATTCATTAATAAACTATTTAACGAACCTTTTTTTTAAAAAAATCGGTAACTCAACCCACTTTAAAAAAAAAAAAAAACAACCTAACAAACGACTTACTCAATAAACTCTGTCGCTCTGTATAACAAACTCTTTAATTCATTACAATAGTCTCAACATATATCTTCAAACATTTGTTACAGGCCTATGTGACCATGTTTCTACAGTGCGGGACAGCATAAGACATCCACTGTGCCAAATTTGATCAGGACACTATAAACATCCACTTTCATACATAAAACAGGTGCCAATTCTAATGAGGACAACATAAAACATCCAATTTTTTATATAAAAGCACCAAATTTAAGATCATATAAGCACAAGACCGAAACACACACCGACCCTAACATAAATCATACATTGATGACTCAATTCATTCACTGATATCAATGGTTAATTCTACCAAGTGCACGCCAATAGACTAAAGCCTTGGAAGATGCATCTTCAAACAAATATCGGCCTCACTTCGGCCCAGTGTGATTGAACATGTCCGGTGGCACTGTGATACGCATCGATGAATCGTCGAGGCCAATCTCATAAATCTCCACAACAGTGATAAAAGCCAGCATGCTTATCTAGCAATCCCAACCAACGAACAAAGAAAATGAGCCGTCCTGCCAACAGAAAATATTAGTAGATGCATATCGATATTGTAAGCACACCACGCCAATTTCCTTTAGAACCAATTTAAAGCTCAGATTAAAAGAAGAAAGCACTAGGGATACACTTTGCAGGAACAATACCTCAAGATACTAAATCTCCAACGTAGCCAACTTAGATCAGGGGCAAAGCATTAGCGGATGCACTTATAGAACATCGCACCAGCCTTTTGGCACTTATTGGAATAATTTGGATCAGCGAGATAACACTGACAGAATGCAATTGCCGAAACCAAAGGCACTCGATATGCTTTGTGAGAATGCTGTGATAACCTCTTTGAATTTCATTCATAGCGATCTTGGATAGGGACAAATGACTAAGGTTGCCGGTGATAACGCATATCCGCTAAGTTATAAACCTGAAAGGTCAAGCCAATCAGAACACTTTTCAACACACCGTAGAGCGTTAATATACAGCATAGGTTTGAACATGCTCATGGCTATTGACACGCATGGTTATTCGGCAACCCATATGCATATCCTTTCGCGCTTAACGTGACTGTGCTGCAAAATTGTCGATTAGCATAACCAGATTATTTAACACATTGCGACTATTAAACATTTACACCCATTATGACCCTTACACCTGTTACAACCATTGATCAATTACATTCATTACATCAAAATCACATCTTCGAGATGAAAGGTTGCAACCTCTCAAACTCTTGTAAACCAATTGGGTTAGTGCGTGATGTTATGAGTATTCGGGGAAATTTTCTTAAATTCTAATATCGATGTTCAATCAATTTCAATAATTAAGATAAAAATATAATTTTGAAACTTTGAACAAGAATTGTAGCAAATAGTTATATAATATTACGTGACAAAACTTGCACCAAGGGTAGAGCATCTACTCAAGAATATAGTTCAATGAATAATCAACATTTGATCAAAAATCCCCGAATACTCATAACGGTACGTACTGACCCAATTGCAACTCTAAGGTTAACGAAATATAGATATATATATGTATATATTCAATTCAATCAAAAAAGTCAGGACTCGAACTAGGCTCATAAGAGTCCAAATCAGTGCTGAAATCTCAAATCAAACAAACTAATACCAAAGTTCCAAACTAATATTAAAATATATATATTATATGAATATGAGTTAGCAGATATAAAAGTTTATTATGTTAATATAATTTGGGATTCTGATATTAGTTTACAGCTGTTTTCATAAATTCTGGTACACTTGAAAAATTTATCGATTCGGTCATCAGAAAATTTTTTTATAGCTGTCCCAGAAATTACGATAAAGGCTGTAAAATTTCAATTCTAGTTTCAGCATCAGTTTGAAATTTTGGGTATTTCAACATCAGTTTGGGGATTTAGGTAAAAATATCATGTTCAAAACTAGCTAACACTATAGCCAGTTTAGGAAGGTCTGGGTTTCGGGACCCATCTTTATTGTTATTGATTCAAAATAACGCACACCTTGTATCGGATTGAATGTATTCTGTCGTGACTGAAGTTGACACCGACTGGAGTTGCACTTGACTGAACTTAGCCCCTGAAAATTAGATCATCGTGCACGCATTAGTTAGCAATTTTAGGCAGGTGTAACTTCAGTCAACTGAAGTTGCAATAGATCGGTCATGACAAATTTAGTACGTGATCGTTTTGATTTGGCAATAGAAAACAGGCTGATTAACATTTTAAAAAAATTAATACCTTAACTTTAACAGCTCGTATTTCAAAGCTATTTTAATAATTTAATAACTAAAAGAAAGCATGAAATCTAAGTTTTCTTTTGGTTATTGAATTATTAAAATAACTTTAAAATTCATCAAGATATGAGCTGTTAAAGTTAAGGGTTGATTTTTTAAAATGCCAATCTACCTGTTGTTTACTGATAGTAGTTCAAATAGTTATTGTGCAAACATTAATGATCATGAATTTTTTTCCTTGTTATTTTTGTATGTTTTACATAAGCACAACAATCCTGAATTAAAATTCAGTTAGCAAATTATGACTTGTAAAGCATGATCATAAATTGCACGATAACATCGATGTTGGTTATGCAACGATTAATACGTATCATGGAATTTATTTTGTCAGGTAGATAATTGACTGAAACGTGTCATTGCGTGGCACATGTCAGCTAATCATTTGCTCCGACAAAAACTTCATAATATTAATCGTTGCATAACCAATATCGAATATTATAATATATACTAAAGTATTAAGTGAAGTTATTAAGAAGATCCAAAAATATATATTTTAAAAGTTTATTAATATATTTTTATTTTTATATCATACAAAATATTGAGAATTAGTTTAAAATGTAATTCTAAATCAAACCAGGTTTAACTTGGAACTTATTATATAGAAACCTGGTTCTTGGGTTTTTATTTGGAACCTAAATATTATAGACCTAAACTAAACCTAAACTAACTTTACTATCCCTACTTAGTCTATCATTACAAACAGTAACAACAAGTAATGCAATAACTACTATCAAAAATATTTTAGCATAGGTAGTTGTCCACCGTTTTCCTAATGCTATTCTCGAGATCACAATTGAGATACGTAAAATCTTGCCAAGTCCGGCGATATTCCACGGAATTTCAGTAGGGATGGTGAGAGAAATCAAATTTTTGGGTGTTTTAGTAGCGGTGGGCTTTTTGTAGACGGTGATTGATGGTGATGGGTAAGGAATTTCAAATGGCATTTCAGATGTCGAAAATGGTGGCGACGACTTTGGTATGGGACCAAGATAGATT